CAAAATGAACATTTGATTTCTAAAAGCTTATATGTTTTTAATCCCCTATTTCACTGTGGAGGATAAAATATTATTTGTATATATTAATGATCTGAACATATTAAAATTATTCATGAGATATTCTTCCCCCACCCCACCCAAATATCCATTTATTGATTGAATCAGACCTCATTCTTTGTGTCCCTTCCTTAAGTAAAACTCTCATGGGATTCTAAGGCTGTAATAGTTGTTCAAAGCTTCCACAGTAAGTATTGTGTAGTCTTAAAAAGGACTGATTTTTCTCCCACTTCTCCAGTTGTTCAGTCTAGGATGAGAAAAAGCATGCAGCGTTTCAGTTGTGTGTGATTGTGGTTTTACGGAATTGCTTTTTTAAATGTCTGAAATACTTCCATTTTGTTCTGTCCACTGCATCTAGTATAACTTGACCAGTGGAGAGAGTTGGAGGAATGCCCAACAAATTCCCATTTGGGGAACAACCGTGTCTATTTCTCCCCTATAAAGGTACATTTCAAAGCTGAATATTACATAAGTATTAAATAATTACAAATGTTATGAAGTGTTACATACATGCAGCATAAATACAGAAAAAGTGTGACACCTCATCAACATGTATTGTTACATGCAAAATCATAGTTTCTCTTTCCCACAGAGCAAAGACACTGTGCCTTGCTCCCAAAGACAGCAACAATACTGAGTAAGAGCTGGGTCTTAATATTTTCAAAAATGAGAGTTCAACTATTGTTTCTTGCTATTTGTGTCCTATTTTAGGCTCTGGGAGTGGGCAGAATTGTTTTTTAAGCATCTTGACCTAAGCCAAGTTACTTCTTCTTGGAAGAGAGGAACAAGATTTTTCTCCGATTCTAGAATGCGGGAAAAGACATATGATGTGATGACCCAGCCTTTTTGGAGATTAAATCCTCCTCATTCAGAACAGCTTCATGAGATCAAGACTAAGAGTTAGCGTTTTCCTGTACTGCATTTTGGGCCAGTGTACAGTTTTGAATATGTCTAGCTCTACTACATTTCCTTTCTTTCACATTCTTTTATTTTCATTTTTAATATTATCTCCTGGGAAGGCTCAAGAGTAACTATTTTATTTTCACTGGATGATTATTTTGTTTTCAATTTTTAGATTTTTTAAAAAAATCTCTTGATCCAATTTATTTATTTAAAATATTTTGTCATAAATTATTAGAAATTATTAAAAGAATTAAACAAACATCATACTAAAAATAGCAGATAAAAGCATTACTAAAACAGATTTAAAAGGCACAAAAGTATAAACAAACCATTTTTTAAGAAAATCCACTCAGGCAGGCAGCCTGCCTGAAGGGAAAGGCATTTGCCTGCATGTGGGAAAACACCAAAGATGGGGGCAGCCTAGCTTTCCATGGGAAGAGGTTTCAGAATCCAGAAGCAGCAACAGAGAAGGCTCTTTCCTGTGTCCCTACCAAACGCACCTGTGAGGGGGGACAGGGAGAAAAGAAAAAGGCCTCCCCTGAAGATCTTAAAATCTGGACATACTCATAAATGGAGATTGCATCTTTGAAATGGCTTGGACCCAAGCCGTCTAGGGCTTTATAGGTGAAAAACAGCAATCTAAACTGTGCCCAGAAACAGATTGGCAGCCAGTTGAGCTGCTATAATGGGAGGAGGGGGTTATGTGATTCCAGTTACCAATCCTAGTTAATAATCTGACTGCAGCATTTAGACCTGCTGAAGTTTCTGAAGAGAGCCCTACATAAACCATGTTATAGCAATCCAACTGGGATATAATTATGGCATATGTCACCAGATCAGACATCTCCAGGAATGGGCACAGCTCGTATACTAGTTTTATTTTTCTAAATGCACTCCTGGTCACCAGTGAAACCTAGGCATCCAGGTGCAGAGACAAATCTAGGAGCACATCTAACTGGTGCACCTGTGTTTTCAGGGTAGTGTAGCCCAATCCAACACAGACTCTATTTCTAGATCCCGTATTCTGGGATCTATTCTATTTCTGGATCCCTATTCCCTGATCTGCCTTTTGATTCAGCAGGAGCACCTTTGTCTTGTCTGTTTTGGTTTTTTCATCCTCATCCAGTCCATTACTGACACCAGGCACTGAGCTAGGACTGAAGCATCTTCTTTGGATTTAGATGGAAAGGAGAAATAGAGTTGGGAATCATCCACATACCGGAGACATCAGAACCCAAATTCTAGACAACCCCTCCCAGTGATTTCATGTTGATGTTAAATAGCATAGGAAACAAAACGGAGCCATGAGGGATACCACAGGCCAGCAGCCAGGGCATTGAACAGGATTTATGAGGAGTCCCCCATAAATCTCCACTTCCACCTGAGTCTTCAGCAACATAACTTTGGGGAAAATATCTGTGATTTTCTTCCTCTGTCATTAGGCCATACTGCTATACATGCCCAGGAATATAGTGGTTGAAATCTTGTTGGCATAACTACATTTGTGAAAAGCTAATGACAAAAACAGGGATGATATTTTGAAATTAAACATTTCCTACATCGGTCCCATGGCTCCCACAACTTCCATTACATGGAAGCCGTGGAATTATGTGATGAGAAGTCTTAACTACTGAAAACCACTGTTTCTGGTATGTCACCACAACAGGATGGTAATATTATGGGTTACTGGATTTCAGCCAGTAACTTTTGACTAGATAGCAGGTGGAAGACTAGGGACAAATGTAGTGTTTTATCCTAAGTGAAGCTGAGTTTGCGTGTTGTGATTTGTATATGTAAGAGTCAACTTCAGATTATACTTTGATTCTACTAGTTTTTCATCATAGCTTTCACATAATCATTGCGCTAAGTGATATTCATAATTCAGCTTCAATTGACTGCTTATACTTATTATACCATCTATCCCAATTGAGTTCATTTTTGGAAGAATGGTTAGATATAAATAAAACAGATAAACTATGAGCTTCAAGTAGAAGGCAATGAATGTTTTGCAGAGTACAGACAAGCCCTTTATCTATGGAGATAGGTAATTGATTAGACATTGATTAGACATCCCCCTTAAGGGGCAACCTGATATTACCACAAATTAAGATGACTGGTCAGGCTTGCAGTCTCCATATTGAGACTTAAGCTGTTACATTTCCCATGGCTATAACATTATGATTTTAGAACTTCCCTACTTCTTCCCCATCCTGTTTTCAAACATGTTGTCTGGTCAAAAGTTGCCCAGGAATATAGTGGTTGAAATCCTGTTGGAATAACTACATTTGTGAAAAGCTAATGACCAAAAACAGGGATGATATTTTGAAATTAAACATTTCCTACATCGGTCCCATGGCTCCCACAACTTCCATTACATGGAAGCCGTGGAATTATGTGATGAGAAGTCTTAACTACTGAAAACCACTGTTTCTGGTATGTCACCACAACAGGATGGTAATATTATGGGTTACTGGATTTCAGCCAGTAACTTTTGACTAGATAGCAGGTGGAAGACTAGGGACAAATGTAGTGTTTTATCCTAAGTGAAGCTGAGTTTGCGTGTTGTGATTTGTATATGTAAGAGTCAACTTCAGATTATACTTTGATTCTACTAGTTTTTCATCATAGCTTTCACATAATCATTGCACTAAGTGATATTCATAATTCAGCTTCAATTGACTGTTTATACTTATTATACCATCTATCCCAATTGAGTTCATTTTTGGAAGAATGGTCAGATATAAATAAAACAGATAAACTATGAGCTTCAAGTAGAAGGCAATGAATGTTTTGCAGAGTACAGACAAGCCCTTTATCTATGGAGATAGGTAATTGATTAGACATTGATTAGACATCCCCCTTAAGGGGCAACCTGATATTACCACAAATTAAGATGACTGGTCAGGCTTGCAGTCTCCATATTGAGACTTAAGCTGTTACATTTCCCATGGCTATAACATTATGATTTTAGAACTTCCCTACTTCTTCCCCATCCTGTTTTCAAACATGTTGTCTGGTCAAAAGTTCTGAAATACTCAAATCCTTGCCTTTTAAAATTATATGCCAGTAAAATTGTATTCTGGTAGTATTAATGATTTTTTTTATTCTTGAACCACATGACTATGTGTTTTCAAACATGTTGTCTGGTCAAAAGTTCTGAAATACTCAAATCCTTGCCTTTTAAAATTATATGCCAGTAAAATTGTATTCTGGTAGTATTAATGATTTTTTTTTTTATTCTTGAACCACATGACTATGTTTCTTATTTATTTCTGATGCACTTTTTCAGCTATATTCATACAGTTTTTTTAAAAAATATTTAAATAAGAATAATAATAGAGAAAGTGAAATTTGCAAGCATCATGGAAAAATACATTATTGTAGAAGTACACTGATCTGAGGGGCTCTTAGTTTCGTGCCTGTTGCATTTTAATTTTGGGCAAACCTGGGTGATTCTGTACAATGAGTGAAACTGCACGTAATCAGGTGATAGATGGAAAATGGCATGTGGGCAACAATAGGAAAGTCAAAGTAATCTGATCTCTGAAAAGGCCACAGTTAGTAGCTGAAGTCAAAGGTGAAACATCCTTATTCAGCAACAAACTCAAATACTGTAAGTGCTGAATTATTGTTCAGTGTTTATGCAGAGAAAGCCTTTCATTGTAGCTGGACTCATTCTTGAACACAACAGTGAGCTCTTGACCACTGTTGATAATTTACATCTACCATTACCAGGTTTTATACAGTAAATATGTGTTGTTTTGCATAGCATTCCTCTCCTCAGTCTTTCTGTTTAACCCCGCTATTGCTGAGGTTATGTGACCGAGGCTATTTTTAGACGTGTGTGGTGATCAAGCTTTACTAACTAGTACAAATTCCAAGTGCAGCAGAAGGGCAGCTTCTCCCCTGAAAACTCACCCCATAGCAAAACTGTGGTTCCCTAAAAGCTATCACAGTCATCTGCTACGCCTATTAAAAATCTCAAGGCAGAAACATATTTTCTCCCCTTGACAATTATAACATCAAGATTGTTACAGTACCTTCTGCTGTAATCTCAGTCATAATGGTGAGGGTGAGAAACACTCTGGTGGAAAGGTCACGTTATATTGCCGGCTCAGAGGATACGACAGGGTCAGCCTTGACTCTTGCAGGAGACAGCAAATTAAGAGGTGGGAAGTCCTCTACCGTTCTTTACTTTCTTTGGGGGTCTTTTTTTTTTTTGTCCTTTTCTTCTTGGGAGCTGTCTTCTCTGTTAAGCCCTGACCTGCCCTCCCCACCTCCCAAGAAACTAACTCCTTTCCCAAGGCAATGCTTGCAGCTCAGACTGAAGTATCAGCTTCTAACAAAAATAGCCAGGGCTCTCAGCAAATCTCTTGCCTGGCTTTTTTGGCATATCAGACACCACGTTCTGGGATCGATTTTTTTTTTAAAGTGTCAAACTCCAAATGAGACAGCCAAGCAGGTAAAAGCAGTAGCAACACAAAAGGAACTGGAAAGACCTGCTAGAGCCCCTGCAGCTACTTTAATATGATTACAGGTTTTTGAGGTCTAGGTCAGAAAATATGAAATATAGACTTGACGGTAATCTTATCCAACTGAGCTCAAATGTATTCTTAGCACACTCTTAGCACATTCTTTCCGGACCTTATTTGGGTTGAAGAGGACACTGTGAAGTCAGCTACAATAAGTCAAGTAGAAAATGAACTTGGGTAAATTTCACTCCGTTAATTGCACCCTGACGCTTGAAATCACAAACACAAATTATCTCACCCACTGGTTTGTGCCATTTGATCCTCAGAAGAGCCATGTTGTTTCAAGGCAACATTTCCTTTATGCCAACATCTTATTTCTTAAAGCCTAGAGCCTACAACTAAATATGCAGCCAGAAAAATATTAAGCAATTACTTGTTTGGGCTGCAACTGCTCTTCCCCTCCCCTCTTTTTTTAAATGGAGGATATCAACCAGAATGGTGTGACATAGAGCACTGAAGGGTACTTTGGGGGTGCCACAGTTTATGAGTTGCATACATTGTCCATTAAAATGCAGGCTGAGAGTGCTGTTTATATTGTCTCTGCTGCTATAGAATAGCCCTGGAAATGCTTCAGTGTTGCAAGGTACGCAATCCCTGCCACACACATTGTGCTTGCAAGACTTGCTGTCACAACATTGTCTTCTTACTGGCACATTCTGTTTCTGAGAGAAGCTAGTTGGAAGATATGACATGGGAGACTCACAATGCGGCAAGAGTAAGGAGTTTATATTTATATATATCCTGCCATTCTTCCAGGGAACCGAAGATCTTTCCCCTCTTGGATCCTTACAGAAAACCTGAGGTAATTAAACTGAGAAAGATTGTGAGAAAGATGAAAGAAGGGCTATCCAAGGACATTTGGGGACAGATGGCTTGAGTAGGGATTTAAACCTAATCTAGTCCAATATTTCAAGGTCTAGTCCAATATTTTATCCAATATTTTACCCAATACTGGCTTACAAGGAGAGAGGCCATCTTTGGCACCTTGTACAAGCTTGTCCTTGTAGTAGCTGTATTTTGTACCTTGGCCCTGTATCTACTGTGTGCTGGCCATTTATGTTTTTTTCTCTCTCCCAGAGCTAGGGCTTAAGAGGCATACGAGATAATGGGTGAGTAAGAATAAAACCAGAATCAGTTATAAACATTAAAATCAACCCAGATGTAATATCAAAACCAAATTAAGTTACAAACAATGTAAAAACATGTCAAAATAGTCATCTCATAGGCATCCTTCAGTCTCTAGAGACTATGGTAACGTGCTCTGTAAGGATGACTTTGACATTGTACACGAAGCTGGAGTGTCCTCTCTAGTACACGAACCCTGGGTAAAATAATATGGAGGATAGGCTGTTACCCAAGCAGCAAATCCCCCCTCTCCACATCGCTGAAATAGTCCAATGGAAAGGCAAGAGCCAATAAAACTGGTTTCAGTGACGTCGAAGGAGTTGCCAGAACGACACTAACTGCCTCCGGGACTCCAGCTCTGGATTTTGCCTCGAGGTTTACTCTTGAAGCCTTTTCCATCACTGGATATAGTCACAAGGCAGTGGAGGTTTGAAATGAGAGTTTTCCTTCTCCTAAATGGTCTGCCTTCCCAGGCTGACAAGTCCCACCTACCTGATCAAAATAATAATTACAATTAAAAATTAAAAATGAGAACCTGTCTGTTGACAGCCCAAATAGGAAGGTCTCTGTCTGCCGTTGTGATCCTGTGTGCCTCATAGACAAAGGCCTTTTCATGAGACCTGCTCTCATGAAATCCTACCATATCAGTGCCCCCTGCCCTCCTTGCTCAACAGTGAAACTGTGTATATTTCCTAGCATATTTCAAAGTAACTGTGTTCCAGTGATGCTAGATGAGCCTTCTAATACAACACACACCTTGATAAAAGACAGTTTTGAAGAGAGACATATCTGCTCTTTTCTTACTGCAGTGTCATAACTATATGCAAACAAAAAGTGAGACACATCTATATGTCTGTTAAACAAGGAAAACAGAACAACTACTGGTGCTTTAAAACCTTCCAAGCCAGTAATTAAAGTACATTAATTGCATTCATAATCTTGCGTGCCACGTGCTCAATAGATATGAAAGAAAACTGTTTGAGTAAGCTTCCATGGAAAAAGTCTCACACTACAGATTTTTAAGAGCTGCAGTTTGAATGAACCACAAATACAAGAGGCTGCTCTGGGTGAAAGTTAAAAAGACCACATCCAGAAATCTAGGTTCATGTTATTGGTCCTTGCATGAGAAATCTTCCAAAAAGATGTTGCTGGAGGACAGGCAATTGGCCATGCAGGTGCTGACCTCTGTGGCAAAGTGCAGCCTCAGCCTTAATTTTCACATGGGCTCATGCAGAATCATTCATGACAACCTGTTTGGGTTGAAGTTGCTCAAAGTTGTGTCAACATAGGTGAGGAAAATTTGGAGCGGGTAAGGACTTCTTCACTAGTACACTTTCATTTCCCAATGTCAATTATAGGTAACATTTTAATTCCTTTTCTTATCATCACAAGAAAGGGTTTGTCCTACATACCTTCATGCTGTGTGGATCCAATGGGGCTGATAGTGAAATGTGTGATTAAAAGGCTATATGCTTAGTATTGTTTCCAGCCGTATCTAGGAATATCAGTGCTGACATTCATCCTCCCCTTGCAGCATCCATATGCCTCGCAACATCCAAAAAGGTTTTAGTAGGGGCTCAGAAGAATACACGGGCAGGGAGGAGTTTTTGTTTGCATGTAGGCTCTATACTCTTCTTTTGAAAGAGCCGTCCCTCAAGGAGGTAAGAGGGATGGCTTGTAGACAAAGGGCCTTTTCGGCAGCTGCCCCCAGACTATGGAACACCCTCCCGACTGAGATTCGTCTGACATTTATGGAACACCCTCCTGACTGAGATTCGTCCGACATCGATGCTGGTGACATTTCGGCACCAGGTCAAAACTTTCCTGTTCCAGAAGGCTTTTAATTGAAATAATATCAAGTGTGGGTCCTGATGGCAGTTTTTTGAGTATATATTTAAATTGTTTTATCTTTTTTACTGTATTTTAATTGTTGTAAGCCAGTCAGATTTGGTCGTACATCAGCATCACTTTATGCAACAGGACTTTGCCCCGTGATTCCCAAGGGGATGTGAGCAACAGTCCCACAGACTCAAAATTAAGTTTTCTGAGGCAAATGAAGAGTTTTTATGTGGGGCCCAGTGAAGAAGTTCCGCCATCTTGATGCAAAGAAGACCAGAGTTCCATGCTAACCCTTCCTTCTTATCGGCCGATTTAAAAATTTTCAACTTTCCACTTTAAAACATGCTGCTTGTAAGGCTTTAAGGTTAATTAAAGAATGAAGTCCCCACCCCACCTCAGGATTGCACTATGAATTTTAAATTATGTACTTTGTACATGCATCAAGAATTTACCTTTGATATTCGATGAGCTTTACTCCTAGGAAGATTGTGCATAGCAGTTGCAGAATATTGCAAACCAATGCAGATTTATTCAGAAATAAATTCTACTGTATTCTTACTTCTATATATAAGTTTATTTACTTATTAGTTACCTATATAGTCTATTTTTCTCCTAGCATTTTATCTATTTTTCTGTAAACTGAAAGGAAAACATATGTCTTTGCAGGTATTTTCTGCGACCAAAAGTGGTAAACATATAAAATGCATTTATACTAATTAGTCTTTGGAGGTATTTTCTGCGGAGCCAAGGAGACCAAAAGTGATTAGGCAATAAAGTGCAATCCAAATGCATATACTTGGGAAGTAAACCACATTTTATGAATATTGTGGGATTTACTTGTGAGTAGACATGCACAAGAATGCTGTTAAATTTTTCTTACTAAATTGTCTGTTATATACATTGCTTTACTAAGCTGCTCTACAACTTCTTGCCACCCTTCTTAAAGATTCATAATTAATCAAGGCTGCAGTATTGAAACCACCCACCTGACAGTAAGCCCCATTGAACTCAGAGGACTCTTTCTCTGAGCAGCCCTAGAAAGGACTGTGTTCTAATTGGCTTTAACACCTACTTCATCTCTAAGGTTGCAATTTAAAAAGTTACCGTAAGTGACATCCCCCTTTTTAAAACTCTAGATATATGCACAGAAGTTGTTAAAGGTCCAGCTGCTACTCTTATCCTATGCTCAAACCAAGGGGGAAAAGCACTTCTGGGGAAAAGAATCACAGTCTCCCAAATTTCACCACAAAGTTACGAGATCAAGCTTGCACGATCAGGAGAACACAGAGAAGAAAAAAATTGTTGCACAAGGAGATGGTTGAAGCTACATGGGAAGGGATGGCTGGCACATGTATTGTTCAAAAGGGGAAGCCACACAAAGCTCAGAATTACCTCTTGTGGATCTCAGCACTTTATCATGGACTGAACCCTTGATTAAAAACACCAGGCTACCCTGATCTGGTAACAATGACTGAGTTACCTGTCTCTCCCACAGAGAGATTTTCCATCTATACCAAAGCTAGGCCCAGCACCTGTAACTTCCTTGTCCTCTGGAAGGAAAACCACGTAAAAGAGACTAGATGAGGAGGTTGCCTTCAACCTTTCCTTCTTATTCTTTGCCATATAATAATGTAAGCACCCTTGAATCCTTTAGGAGAAAGGTGGCAAGGAAATATTTTAATTTAATAAATAAATATAAATATTCAATAGGGGGATGGGGTGGGGTGGAAAGCCAGGTGAAATTGCACCATGATAAACTATCTGAAACAAAGGGTGGTTCTCAGATCTTGCTTCCATGTGATAAGATTACAAAAGTTCAAATTTCAACTTAATTTGGAACTACTCTTTCCCCCCAACTTATTTCTAATGGTTAAATAAAATTTAAATTGAATGGCTGAAAGCCTGTTGCTCAGCACAGTAAAATCACACGACAATAAGCCTATTAGTATGTGC